GCTAAATCCAGCTAAAGCCAGCTTGACCAGCCTGGTTTAAGCTGGACATAGCTGGTTTGGGCTGGGCTCCCAGTCTGGCTAGGCTGGTCAAGCTGGTGTTAACTGGTCATGTCCCAGCCTGACCAGCTAAGACCAGGCTGGAAATGGCTGGAAACCAGCCTGGAAATGGTCCAAACCCCTCTAAAACCAGCCTGGTTGACCAGCTTAAACCAGCCAACCAACCTAGGCTGGTTTAAGCTGTGTTTTTTAGTAGGGAGGTCATGTGACCATCAGGAAGAATGCAGCATTTCAATTCTCAAAGGACGCGTTCTCTGCCCTCGCTGTCTCCTGAGTTCGTTCTTCTGCGGACACCCGGCAAGACCGGTCTCCACAAGAACACAAGTCCGTTCTCTGCGTTCTTGGAACTGAGAAACAACCTTTTAGTGCTTCAAAACAGTTTGCTGCATTTATAAATCGCCCGTGTCTTGAGGCTGTTCATTATGATGCGATTTACCTTCTATGAGTGATTTGATTGGACAGAAATCACAGGTCTGATTTTTCTAATCGCCATCCGCTTGTTAAGTGGTGACGTGTTTGTGACGTATGTAATACTGTTTCCGGGTCCAAGCCGCCCCTCATTTGAGTGGAGAAATCATTCGTTTATGATCACGTTTTATTCCTATCACACATTAAAGTTAATTTAATAAACAATCATAATGTACACAACAATCTCTGGGCTTGCTGCATAACAAATACCAAAATTTTAACAATTTATAAAAAGTTAATCACTTTCTGGGCATCGGATATTGGGCATGGACATTTATACTGCGATCGTGATTTTCGAAAGCATTAAATCGCTTTGTAAACGTTTATTATTACCATTTCATGAGTCTCCTCATTCAGTTGAATAGAGCGCTTGGACCCGGAAGCCGCTTCGCGTGACGTCACACTTAACAAGCGGATAGACAAGAAATAATAAAGTAGTGTCTGCAGGTAGAAGGAAAATAGTGAAGTTAATGTCGATACTGCAGTAAAAATGCACTCAAGTGACGGTAAAAGCACACGTTTTTAAAACTACTTGGTAAATTACAATTCCTGAGAAAAACTACTCAATTACAGTCATTTGATTATTTGCAATTTGTTACTTTACACAACTGGTCAGTTGGCGTGGGTTTCCTTCGGGTGCTCCTGTTTCCCTCACAGTTCAAACACATGCACTATAGGTGAATTGGCAAAAACATATGCTGGAATAGTTGGTGGTTCATTCCGCTGTGGTGACCTCTGATGAATGAAGAGACTAAGCTGAAGGAGAATGAATGAATGGCTTTAATTGTCTCACTAATGCCCACACAAAGACTCCCCTTCAGTCTCACACACTCATGATGACAGGAGCAGAAATAAAAGCAAGAAAAGCAAAAGTGTGTTCAAGTCAAATAAACACTGAGGTCACTGCAGAAGCATGCACACACACACACACACACACACACACATACACACACACACACACACACACACACACTCACTCACAAACACACCCTCTTTCTGTCTCTCTCACATATACACACATACACACACACACACACACACACAATCTCTTACAAAAACACACACATACACACACTTTCTCTATTGCTTATGCACTAACAAACTCACACTCACACAAACACACACGCTCTCATGCACAAACACTCTTAAACACACACACACTCTCACATACACACATACTCTTACTTACACACACACACACACACACACACACACACACACACACACACACTCTCTCATACACACACACATGCACACACTCCCACAAACTCTCCCTTTCTCTCTCTCTCTCACACACACACACACACCAAATTCTCTCACACAAACTCTCTTTCATACATACACACACACTCACAAACTCTCTCTCATACACACATACACACACTCACACAAACTCTCTCTCTCTCTCTCTCTCTCACACACACACACTCAAGCTCAAATTCTCTCACACAAACTCTCTCACACACACATACACACACACACACACACACACACACACACACACACACACACGCACACGCACCTGTCAGCTGTGCAGTGAATGCGGTCTGACTGATGTTGAGCACATCTGCTTCCCATTAGGACTTCTCCACCAACCAGCCCTCAGAGTTCTTCAGAGAGGAGAGTTCACCACCATTACACCAGCAGAGACAACAGCAGATCCCCTAAACAGCCTTCAGCTCTACTCCAGCAATTGTAAAGTCACACTGTCGACTCACAGCAAGAAGGTCGCTGGTTCAAGTCCCAGCTGGGTCAGTTGGCTTTTCTGTGTGGAGTTTGCATGTTCTCCCTTTGTTAGTGTGGGTTTCCTCCGGGTGCTCTGATTTCCCCCACAGTCCAAACACATGCGCTATAGGTGACTAGATTTCATAACTATGAAAATACTAAACTACCTGACAATAGTTTTGTAGTGGATCCCAGTTGTAAGAGCAACAAATAATAACTTGACTTCTAGTTGATCATGTAGAAAAGTGGCAGAAGCTAGATTTCTCAGATGAATCGCCTGTTCAGCTGCATCCCAATCATCACAAATACTGCAGAAGACCTACTGGAACCTGCATGGACCCAAGATTCTCATAGAAACGAGTCAAGTTTGGTGATGGAAAAATCAGTGTTTGGGGTTACATTCAGTATCTGCAGAGTGGATTGCAACATCAACAGCCTGAGGTATCAAGACATTTGTGCTGCACATTACACATAGATATATACACTAGATATCGCATAGGGACCCTGAGCATGCGTCAATAGCGCCGCCACATTGGTACAGTGCTCCCAGGACAAATGTCATTCAACCGCACTAGTCAAGACAGTGTTATTAAGTAAAGATGCGGGACTTTAGCGCTGTCTACGGGTGTAACGAGCAAACAAAGAAAATAAAGCACAAAGGCCGAACATTTCATAGGTAATATTAAGTTTTTTCTGATTTAGTATGTTCTGAACTTTTAGTATGTTCTGAACTTTTGTGCAAATCAGGTAACGTTATTGATGATAACAGTCACTTACTGCATTCACCATACGGCAAAGCAGCTCCAACTCGCACTAAATACTCGGCTTATGCTAGTTTTGTTGAATAAAATCAGCAAACAATGCAAAAGAAATATGACAACGAGATGCTGCTGTGCCAGAAACTTGTATTATTGTCGGCTAACGTTAGTGAAAGAGTCGTTCATAACGGAGATTCATTGACAAACGAATCGCTCCCTCCGTCAGTATGAGAAGTGAAAGCAGGAGTGGAGGTGTGTTTCAGGACATGATTAGATCAAATTTAACAGGGAGGGTGGATAGTACATTTCTGTACACACAAACACAAGCTTTTTGTCAGGAATGCCCGTGCAGTCACTGATCCATCAATGTAGAAAAGTGATGTAAAATTATAATTTTCGTAATTAGAAAAAAAATTGCATACTAACATCCAGGAAAACTCCCGATCATAGATATATGTGTGTGTATGTGTATATCTCTGGCTTTGGATGGCCACAGTCCTCCACTGTACCTTGGTCCCGCATTCATTTCAAAGGAGCGCTACCCTGTAGCAAGATGGCGGCGCTATTGACGCATTCCGTCCAATAGACAACAATAGGCCAGACGACATCTAATGTATATATCTATGCCCATTACATTACAAACCACAGGGAAGGACAAATTCTCCAGCAGGATAGCGCTCCTTCTCATACTTCAGCCTCCACAGCAAAGCTCCTGAAAGCAAAGAAGGTTAAGGTGCTCCAGGATTGGCCAGCCCAGTCACCAGATATAAACATTATTGAGCATGTCTGGGGTAAGATAGAGGAGGAGGCATTGAAGATAAACACAAAGAGTCTTGATGAACTCTGGGAGTCCTGCAGGAACGCTTTCTTTGCCATTCCAGATGACTTTATTAATCAGTGATTTGAGTCATGTCAGAGATGTATGGATGCAGTCCTCCAAGCTCATGATGGAGTCAGACACAATATTCATTCTGTTTCCACTGCAGCAGGACTTTATCTTCTATACTGGACATTATTTCTGTTTAGTGACGAGAATTTAGTCTACGCAAAGTCAGACCTTACTGTCCTAATGAAATCATTAAAAATCAAGACATGATCATATTTTATTGTGGTCAAATAAGCGTCATCTAGAGGCCTTTGCCTTTCATATAAGCCACTTCTGATACCAAATGATCAACTAGAAGTCAAATTATTATTCGTGGTTCCTAAAACTTTTCAAAAGTGAAAAAACTTTTGTCAGGTAGTGTATATTTTTTTTTAAATCCTCGCTTTGTTAAACATCATTTCAAGAGTTCACACTCGGACATTGCTTGATAATAATAGCAGGTTTGGCATACTGTCCCGGAAGAAAACCCTGAGCTGAGAATAATTAAGCCCAGGGCTCCCGCCTGGTCAATGAGCATGTAAGAGGGTACGACACAGGTGTCAAACTCAGTTCCAAAAGGGCCGCAGCTCTGCACAGTTCAGTTCCAACCCTAATTAAACACACCTGATCAAACTAATTGAGTCCTTCAGGCTTGTTTGAAACCTACAGGTAAGTGTGTTGGAGCAGGGTTGGAACTAAACTGTGCAGGGCTTCGGCCCTCCAGGAATTGCGTTTGACACCCCTGGGGTACGAGATCAGGTAGTTCTCAAGAGCTCCCCCTGGTAAAGGAGGAAAGGGGTAATTGATGACGGGATTCTTCAAAATAAATAAATAAATAAAAGATGATAGTGTAATGCTAGTCGTGTTATTTATAGTGAGTTTGGAATGATCCGATTGGCTTACTAATGATTACAGATGAAACACCAGCCGCGATCAATCATATCACATGCTCCTCTTGAAATGAGTTTGTGAAACTTCACTAAGGAAATACTTTAAATAAAATAATGAACATTTCCCTAATAGTTTAATCTTCAATGGCATATATTAACTTGGAATTTAACTAATCAGCAAAATAATTAACATCCATGTGTGATTCGTAAAAGAAAAAAAATAATAACATTTAATATGTGTGAATCAAACTTTGTATATTTGACACATACGGATACAGATTAAATAGCCTTTCACTGCAAAATCATCACATCAAATGTTTTCCTAACAATATAAATCACCGGGAGACAGAAAGACTAAGACCTCGAATGAAGAAATCGTCACAAAATTAAAAAAACAAACAAACAAGTTGGTTTTTAATACTCAAACCAGAGAAATGAATATGAAATGTGAACTATATACACATGGAATATGATCTGGATGATCCTTACATGCTGCTGCTGCTGTATTAATAATAATAATAATTCAAGATCAGTAAAAAAAACACTTAAAAGCGGCAGCTCACACAAACTGAAAATTCTGTCATCATTTACTCCCCCTCAAGTGGTCATAAACCTTTATGAGTTTCTTTCTTCTGTTGAATGCAAAAGAAGATATTTTGAAGAATGTTGAAAACCAGTAACCATTGACTTCCATAGCAGAAAAACAAATAGAATGGTTACAGGTTTCCAACATTCTTCAAAATATCATCTTCTGTGTCTTTCTTTTGTTGAACGCTAAAGAAGATATTTTGAAGAATGCTGAAAACCAGTAACTACTGACTTCCATAAAGAACGTACCCTAAAGAAGAAAACCTGTAAGCATTGACCTTCATAGTAGGAAAAACAAATACTGTGGAGGTCAATGGGTACAGGTTCCCAACATTCCAACAAAGACACTCATAAAGATTTATAACCAATAGAGGGAGAGGAAATAGTGAGTAAATGTTAATTTTGGGGTGAATTTATTTCCCAAAAGACAAGAATAAGGAGTTAGTTCACCCAAAAAATTAAAATTGCTTACAATTTACTCTGCCTTAAGTGCTTCCAGTATCTTATCTTATTTTATCTGTAACCATTGACTTCCATAATAATAAAATCAAACACTATGGCAATTAATATTACAGGTTTCCGACATTCTTCAAAACATCTTCTTTTATGTCTTTCTTCTGTTGAACGCTAAATAAGAAATTTTGAAGAATGTTAAAAATCTGTAACCATTGACTTCCATTGTAAGAAAAACAAATACAATGAAAGCCAATGGTTACAAGTTCCCAACAATCTTCAAACTATCTTCTGTGTCTTCTGTTAAACAATAAATATTATATTTTTAAGAATGCTAAAAACTGGTAACCATTGACTTCCATAATAATAAAATTAAACACTATGGAAATCAATATTATAGAATATCTTCTTTAGCGTTCAACAGAAGCCACAAAAGAAGATATTTTAAAACATGTTGGAAATCTGTAACCATTGACTTCCAAAGTAGGAAAAACAAATACTGTGAAAGTCAATGGTTACAGGTTCCCAATATTCTTCAAAATATTTTCTTTTGTGTCTTTCTCCTGTTGAACACTGAAGAAGATATTTTGACGAATGCTGAAAACCAGTAACCATTGACTTCCATAATAAGAAAAACAAATATTATGGAAGTCAATATTACAGGTTTACAACATTCTTTAAAATATCTTCTTTTATGTCTTCTGTTGAACGCTAAGAAGATATTTTGAAGGATGCTGAAAACTGGTAACTATTGACTTTCATAATAATAAAATCAAACACTATGGAAATCAATATTACAGGTTTCCAACATTTTTCAAAATATCTTCTTCTGTTACTTTCTTGTTGAACACTAAAGAAGATATTTTTAAGCATGTTGAAAATCTGCAACCATTGTCTTCCATAGTAAGAAAAACAAATACTGTCGAAGTGAATGGTTACAGGTTCCCAACATTCTTCAAAATATCTTATTTTGTGTCTTTCTTCTATTGAATGCTAAAGAAGATATTTTGAAGATTGCTGAAAACCTGTAACCATTGACTTCCATAGTAGTAAAAAAACAACAAAAACGGAAGTCAATGGTTACAGAATTCCAACATTCTTCTTTAGTGTTCAACAGAAGAAAGACTCTTAAAAAAAATGTATAACCACTTGAGGGAGAGTAAAGAGTGAGTAAATTATAATTTTGGGGTGAACTTGTTTTCCACAAGACAATATTAATTTGCTCTGCTTCCAGTATCTTATCTTTTCTATATGTAACCATTGACTTCCATTTAAAGAAAAACAAATACTATGAAAGTCAATAGTTACAGGTTTCCAACATTCAACAAAATATCTACTTTTGTGTATTTCCAATGTTGAACACAAAATAAGACATTTTGAGACACGTTGGAAATCTGTAACCATTGACTTTCATAGTAGGAAAAACAAATACCATGGAAGTCAATGGTTACAGGTTCCCAACATTCTTCAAAATGTCTTCTTTTGTGTCTTTCTTCTGTTGAACACTGAAGAAGATATTTTGGAGATTGCTCAAAACCAGTAACCATTGCCTTACATAATAATAAAAACAAATATTATGGAAGTTAAAATTACAGGTTTACAACATTCTTCAAAATATATTCTGTGTCTTTCATTTTGGGGTGAACTTATTTCCATCAGACAAGACTAAAGGGATAGTTCACCCAGAAGTTTAAATTTACTCACAATTTTTTCTCCCACAAGTGGTTCCTAAACTTTATGAGTATCTTATCTTTTATCTCTGTAACCATTGACTTCCATAATAAGTAAAACAAATACAAGTGAATAGAAAGGTTACAGGTTTACAACATTCTTCAAAATATCTTCTTTTATGTCTTTCTTCTGTTGAACGCGAAAGAAGATATTTTGAAGAATGCTGAAAAACGGTAACCATTGACTTCAACAATAAGAAAAACAAATACAATGGAAGTCAATAGCTACAGGTTTCCAACACTCTTCAAAATATTTTCTTTAGTGTCTTTCTTCTGTTGAATGCTAAAGAAGACATTTTAAAGAATGCTGAAAACTGGTAACCATTGACTTCCTTAGTAGAAAAAACAAATACAATGGAGGTCAATGGTTACAGGTTTCCAACATTCTTCAAAACATCTTCTTTTGTGTTTAACAGAAGAAAGAAAAGTAAAAGATGACTAAAGACGTAATTGTCAGTTTTGTGTGAACTATAGATGAAAGGTGATGTAAACGAGAAGAGAAGGTGTTTGTTGTGGAGCCTCAGATCAGGCAGTTCATGCACTTGACGGTTTTGCTGCCGTAGTCCAGACACTCTGGCCCGATGCACTCGCAGCAGGCGTTATGAAACCAGCGGTACTTTGATCCACCCATAGACTCGCAGTACTGCTTACACTGACGGATGGACACACAGTCATCAAAGTAGACCACCGTACACAAGGCATCTGAGGAATGAGGACACACACACACATACACACACCATATGAGCACATGCACAGCAGAGAACAGGGAGATTTGCATGTTTGCACTGAATAGGGTGATGCTATTGTATTGTATTGTACATAATGTACTTTATATACAGTATGTGTACAGTGACAATAAAAGCCATTCTATTCTGTTCAGTTCTGTTCTGTTCAGTTGATTTGTTTTGTTCTGTTCAGTTCTGTTCTGTTCAGTTGATCTGTTTAGTTCTGTTCTGTTCAGTTGATCTGTTCAGTTCAGTTGATCTGTTTAGTTGTGTTCAGTTCTGATCTGATCTGTTCAGTTGATCTGTTTATTTCTGTTCAGTTGATCTGTTCAGTTCTGTTCAGTTCAATTGATCTGTTCAGTTCTGTTCAGTGTATCTGTTCAGTTCTGTTCTGTTTAGTTGATCTGTTCAGTTCTGTTCTGTTCAGTTGATCTGTTCAGTTCTGTTCAGTTCAATTGATCTGTTCAGTTCTGTTCAGTGTATCTGTTCAGTTCTGTTCTGTTTAGTTGATCTGTTCAGTTCTGTTCTGTTCAGTTGATCTGTTCAGTTCTGTTCAGTTCAGTTGATCTGTTTAGTTCTGTTCTGTTCAATTGATCTCTTCAGTTGATCTGTTCAGTTCAGTTGATCTGTTTAGTTCTGTTCAGTTCTGATCTGTTCAGTTGATCTGTTTAGTTCTGTTCAGTTCTGATCTGTTCAGTTCTGTTCAGTTCTGATCTGTTCAGTTGATCTGTTTAGTTCTGTTCAGTTCTGATCTGTTCAGTTATGTTCAGTTCAGTTGACCTGTTTTGTTCTGTTCAGTTCAGTAGATCTGTTCAGTTCTGATCTGTTCTGTTCTGTTCAGTTCTGATCTGCTCAGTTCTGTTCTGTTCAGTTCTGATCTGCTCAGTTCAGTTCTGATCTGTTCAGTTCAGTTCAGTTCAGTTCTGTTCTGTTCTGTTCAGTTCAGGTCTGTTCTATTCAGTTTTGATTTGTTCTGTTCCGTTTAGTTGATCTGTTCAGTTCTGTTCAGCTCAGCTCAGCTCAGTTCAGTTCAGTTCAGTTCTGTTCTGTTCAGTTCTGATCTGTTCTGTTCTATTCAGTTCTGTTCAATTCAGTTGATCTGTTCTTTTCTTTTCTGTTCTGTTCTGTTCAGTTCTGATCTGTCCTGCTCAGTTCAGTTCTATTTTGTTCTATTCAGTTCAGTTCTGATCTGTTCAGTTCAGTTCTGTTATGTTGATCTGTTCTGTTCAGTTCTGATCAGTTCAGTTCTGTTCATTTCTGATCTGATCTGTTCTGTTAAGTTGATCTGATCTGTTCTGTTCTGATCAGTTCAGTTCTGTTCTGACCTGTTCCGTTCAGTTCTGTTCTGTTCTGTTCTGATCTGTTCTGATCTGTTCTGTTAAGTTGATCTGTTCTGTTCTGATCAGTTCTGTTCTGTTCTGTTCTGACCTGTTCCGTTCAGTTCTGTTCTCATCTGTTATGTTCTGATCTGTTAAGTTAATCTGTTCTGTTCATTTCAGTTCTGATCGATTTAGTTCAGTTCTGTTATGTTGATCTGTTCTGTTCTGTTTAGTTCTGTTTAGTTCTGATCTGTTCTGTTCAGTTCTGATCAGTTCAGTTCAGTTCAGTTCAGTTCATTTCAGTTCAGTTCTGACCTGTTCTGTTCTGTTCAGTTCTGTTCAGTTCTGATCTGTTCTGTTCAGTTTAATTCAGTTCAGTTTTGTTCTGATGTGGTTAGTTGAACTGTTCAGTTCAGTTCATTTCAGTTCTGATGTGTTCAGTTCTGTTCAGTTCAGTTCTAATATGTTCAGTTCAGTTCTGTTTAGTTCAGTTCTACTCTACTCTGTTATGTTCTATTGTTCTGTTCTAATCTATTCCGTTCTATTATTTTGCTCTGTTCTAGTTTTCTTTTCTGTTCTATTTTATTGTATTATGTTTTGTTATTCTATTCTATTACGTTCAGTTCTGTTGTGTTGTGTTCTGTTCTATTATCCTGTTCTGTTATTCTGTTCTATTCTTCTGTTCTGTTGTGTTCTGTTCTATTCTATTATTCTGTTCTGGTCTGTTCTACTATTTTGTTCTGTTCTATTATGTTCTTGTCTATTATTCTATTCTATTCTATTCTATTCTATTCTATTCAGTTTTTTTTCTATGTTGTGGCTCACCGTCCTGTGCGCTGCTGGTGGGCAGAGAGATGTTTTGGCTCTGGCTGTCGAGGGTCTCCAGAAAGGACACCAGGTTCTCGTGATGGGACAGTTCTTCAGCCACAGGGAACGACACCACCATCATGTTAATGGGAGCGTCTCCTTCTGTCAGAGCGCGGAAAAGCGATGGGATCGGCCGGTAAAGCTCCTCCACCGTGCTTTTGGAGGTGGCAGGACTGTCGTTGTAGCTCCTAGGGTTACACATCCCTGCCAGACAGAAAACACAGAGCCAATATAAGATTCTGACAGTATGATAACCTTGGATAAAAATATCATGCTTTTACAGTATCGCCGTGTTGTCATTATTCATTCATTGATTCATTCAATTTCTTTTCGGCTTAGTTCCTTTATTAATCCGGGGTGGCCACAGTGGAATGAACCGCCAACTTATCCAGCACGTTTTACGCAGCAGCTGCAACCCATCTCTGGGAAACAGCCATACACACTCATTCACAATCATACACTACAGACAATTTAGCCTACCCAATTCACCTGTATCGCATGTGTTTGGACTGTGGGGGAAACCGGAGCACCCGGAGGAAACCCACACGAACGCAGGGAGAACATGCAAACTCCACACTGAAGTGCCAACTGACCCAGCCGAGGCTCAATTTATTTTATTTTATTTATAAAATGCATCCAGATGGTACAGATGGTTAATGTGTAATATTGCAATAAACAAAAGACCTAAAAGAATGCATATTTTATACATTAAACATTACACATTACATATTTTATTTACCTATGACATTGGTTTATAGCAGGGGTTCCCAAACTTTTCAGCCCGCGACCCCAAAAATAATCATATCAGTGGCTCGCGACCCCCATTTTTCAAGGTGGTTGTACTGTAAATATGTAAACGTTGCAGACACAACTATAGGCAAATATAAACATGAGCTTATTGACAACACAAAAATGCAACAGTCTATTAGCCATATAATGTTTTTTTATAGTCATTTATGGATTTAATTACATTTTGCTTTTAAAACTAAAGGCTGATTGTTATTTCTATGTTGTTGTTTCTTTAATGCAACTATTAACTATATTCTGTCGGTTATGAATAAAATATGGTAATTCAAATAGTTTAATAAAATTTATTTGAGCTTTGGATATCACCAAGCGACCCCTTGTCATTGTCCTGCGACCCCCCAGGGGGTCCCGACCCCCACTTTGAGAACCACTGGTTTATAGTCTGATAGCTAATTGTATTTATGTATTAAATACTAAATTACATCAGTAATGAAAAAGTTGTGCATTACTGTGTTTATTTTCATTTATTTTATTTATTACTTATTATTTTATTTTATTACTTGCATTTTATATATTTTTAAATTTAATTTATAATTTTTTTTATTTTAAAATGTATTAATTTATTTTTTGTTTTATTTTTTATTATTATTGTTATTATTATTTTTTGTTTTTTTAATTAAATTAAATTAAATTAAATTAAATTAAATTAAATTAAATTAAATTAAATTAAATTAAATTAAATTAAATTAAATTAAATTAAATTAAATTTAATTTTTCAAATTATCCAGCATATGTTTTACGCAGCAGATGCCCTTCCAGATGCAACCCATTACTGGGAAACATTCATACACACTCATACACTATGGACAATTTAGAGCAGGGGTCTCAAACTCGCGGCCCTCAGTGCAATATTTTGTGGCCCGCGCCGACCGCTGTACACTGACAGAATCAGCGGAGCGGGGAGAGAGAGCGCTCCCCGCTCCGCTTATTCTATCCGTACACAGCGGTCACTGTCATTCCCCGCCCGCCGTGTAAACAAAGGGGCGGGGGTGCCGGTGACGTCACCACGCACCCCGCCCCTTTGTTAGACGCTGTGATGGGCGGGAACTCGCGCCGGCCAGAACCAAGGGAAGCTGTTCCCGCCCCTGCCTGCCACTTAGCTACCTATCTGCAGCCTGCCACCTACCTAGCTACAGCCTGCATCTTATATATATTATAGGTAGATACAGACTGGTACAGACTGATGTGACTGGAGTGGGGTGGGGGTGTTTTATTTATACATATATACGCCTTTTTTTTAGGTGAGGGCAGGCACGTGCACACATAGGGCTCAACCTGTGCAGTGCACATGCCCTTTTTAGTCTTGGATAGAAAGTGCCCTTCCAAAATGATCAAAAGTGCCTCCGCGACGCGGCACACCTTCGGTCCCGCCCTTCAGTAGGCGCGCGACAACACCGCTCTTGAGTACGCGCGCGACAACACAGCTGATCAGTACGCGCGCGATAACATCGCTCTTCAGTACGCGCGCATCCACTCTGCAGTGGGTGAGGGAATGGAAGTTTTGAGTGAGTTCCCCCAAGCCATACTGAGGGTCTCAACTGCTTCCGCTCTAAAGCCAAATGTGGTTCAGATTTGTGAGAAGAAGCGCTGTCAAGTCTCTGGCAGCAAGGAGTAGGCAAAAGATGCCATGTTCAAAAGAACTGTTCATAATCTTCACTCAATGTTCTATTAATGTTCAGGACACTTCATGTTCAGAAGAAATAATTAAAACTGTTAATAATGACATTTGAGGACTTTTTTTTTGTGAAATCCCTTATGCGGCCCAGCCTCACCCAGACTTTGCCTCCTGCGGCCCCCAGGTAAATTGAGTTTGAGACCCCTGATTTAGAGTATTTAGAGAACCCGGAACATCCAGAGGAAACCCACGCCACACGGAGAGAACATGCAAACTCCACACAGAAATGGCAACCGACCCAGTCGATGCTCGAACCAGCGCCTTTCTTGTTTTGAGGCGAATGTGCTACCCACTGTACCACCGTGCAGCCCCTTCCACCATGACATAACGATAAATAAAGCAGCTGTCGTGCCAACTTTCTACTATACATCGGTTGCCCCGCCTCTGAGCTCCTCTGATTGGTCCACTGCACAAAACAGTTCACAAAAAAGTTCAACTTTCATGGCATATAAAAAAATGTGATTTGAGACGTGAGCAAGACGGTCACACACATCCATTCAGCACATGTTTACATGGAAAAACATTAGAAAAGTAGCGCGTTGAAGAGGAAAAACGCTTTCTGTGCGAAAGCCCCCTTAGAGTTTTTCTACCGATGACAGCCTTAACAAGCCAACGGGACCACAGTTGAAGATGTTCAGCGCAGGACTGTCAGCAGCCGAGATAAAGCTCTGTTCATCAGCTAATAGATGGAGCTTTAATAAGGAGCAGATCTGCAGAGCGTGTGTTTCACATTACATGTCGAGCGGCTGCCAGAACAGCTGCTTCTGATTAGGCAGATTCAGGCCTTCAGGAACAACACACACTTCTGTCCCTCGGCTAATAAAGCTGTGTTTGAACACAACAATCTCCGCCGCCTCGGCCTTTCATGAGAACTGAAGCATCATGCGCTGTTGAGTCACAGGAATGATTATTATGACGCATCATTCACATCTTGGTTTTGTTATGGTTGACAAAGCTTGTAAAAACACACTGTAAACTACAGATGAACACACCGTGTGCATTATTTGTGTGTGGTTTAGAAGGATCTCATAGGTTTAGAAAAATATAAACAGTTTTAAAAACATCAAGAAAAAACTTTGATTGATTAACTTTTGTAAGTTGTTCAAAACAATTAGAAAACTATCAAATAATATTACAAAAGTCATCAAACATTAAGGGTGTCACGATCCTCCAAATCCTCGATTCGATTACATTTTCGATTCTAAAGTCACCATTCGATTCGATTTTCGATTATGAATAATTAATTAATTAATAACGAATTAATTATTAGTAGCCTACCGTTTAAACTACCTGACCTGCATGGTCTTTGTTTTACCCATAAACAAATCATACAGTAAATGAATAAAGGTAAGTTACACACATAATTACCACCTGTCAATCACTTTTTTCTGCGGGACTCGTGAATAGGCAGTGATCTGTGTCGTTATAATGGTGTCGGTAAAAAAGGTGCACAACCAACAGGAACCAGCCAACAGTATCTGAGGTGTTCGCTAAAATGACTAAGTACTTGTGTGAAAGTAAAAGATGGAAGCAGTCTACTGACCTGCTGACTGCCTTGACCCGCTGTCTCGAGCGCATGACAATGTGTGTGCGTCTGTGTCTGTGTGTGAATGAGTGTGTGTGGTCACTTGATGTGTGTTTTCAGCGGTAGTGATAAAGGAGGGCTGCTCAGAAATGCTACACGCCAGTGTGGATGTGGATCGTTGTCGTTCTAAAATGCCATGTAAGAGCGGATTTGCAACGGGTTCGGGGCGGAGAATCGCGATGCGCCCATCGTCTATCATCCCAACCGTAATACGTACATATCAGAGCTTACAAACTGTGTTTTTTTTGTCGACAACACGAACGTTGTCAACATAACTAACTGGAAATCCAAAATACTTCCACACCGGCGACTTCATTGAAAGAGGAGAGGGTTTAAGTTCTGTCGACGGGTCTCCTGCGTCTGCAGTTTAACAAGCTCTTCAACAAGCCTGTTTTTTCCCGCTTGGCAAGCCAAGCTGACGTGACACGGGGGCGTGGCAGCATCGACGATTCTATTTTTTGATTCGATAATCGAAATTAAGCATAAATTTTGATCGAGTGACACCCCTATCAAACATACACACAAAAATATTTATGAAATCTATTATTTATAATATATATATGAGTCAACAAATAATAAAGTAACAAATAATAACTTGACTTGTGTGGGTCATTTGGTATCAGAAGTGGCTCATATAAAAGGCAAAGGCCTCTAGATTACGCTTATTTTAGCAGAATAAAATATGATCATGCCTTGATTTTTAATGATTTCATTAGGACAGTTAAGTCTGACTTTGCTGAGACAAAAGTCTTGTCACTGAACATAAATAATGTCCAGTATAGAATATAATTAAAGTATATAAAGATAGATATAAATTTATATATATATATATATATATATATATATATATATTTATATTATATTTTTTATATTTTTATATTATATTTTATATATAAATTTATATATAATTTAAAGAAAGAACATCATTGGCTCCCGGTTGCATACCGCATTAAATTCAAAATTCTCCTCCTTGCATTTAGATCCCTAAATAACCTAGCACCCTCCTATCTCTGCAACATGCTTGTCCCCTACACCCCAACTCGCTCTTTACGTTCTGCTGACTCGCTGTCCCTCGGTAGCGCCTCTCTTCAATGGGGGGCAGATCATTTAGTGTTATTGCACCCAAACTCTGGAACTCTCTACCACGCTCACTCCACTCTGCTAATGATATCTCTGAATTCAAATCCTTACTTAAGACTCACTTATTTCCTGAATGCTTCGCTTCTGACCTGCCAAACTGACTACTTTATCTGATCCACCACTACTCTGCTCATATGTCTCTTAGGTCTTGTTTGTGTAATTCCAGTTTGTTATATTTGACCTTATGTATGTTTGTTTATCTTTTTGTTGCATTCCTTGTAAAGTGTCCTTGAGCTCTGGAAAGGCGCTATATAAATAAAAATTATTATTATTATTATTATTATTATAAAGTCCTGCTGCAGTGGAAACAGATTGAATATTGTGTCTGACTCCATCATGAGCTTGGAGGACTGCATCCATACATCTCTGCAATGACTCAAATCACTGATTGATAAAGTCATCTGGAATGGCAAAGAAAGCGTTCTTGCAGGACTCCAGTTCATCAAGACTCTTTAGATTCATCTTCAATGCCTCCTTCTTCTTACCCCAGACATACTCGATAATGTTCATGTCTGGTGACTGGGCTGGCCAATCCTTGACCTTCTTTGCTTTCAGGAGCTTTGCTGTGGAGGCTGAAGTATGAGAAGGAGCGCTATCCTGCTGGAGAATTTGCCCTCTCCTGTGGTTTGTAATGTAATGGGCAGCACAAATGTCTTTTGATGTTGCCATCCACTCTGCAGCTCTCTCGCACACCCGCATACTGAATGTAACCCCAAACCATGATTTTTCCTTCACCAAACTGATTTCTGTGAGAATCTTGGGTCCATGCAGGTTCCAGTAGGTCTTCTGCAGTATTTGTGATGATTGGGATGCAGCTCAACAGATGATTCAGCAGAAAAATCCACCTTCTGCCACTTTTCCACATTATTAACTAGAAGTCAAGTTATTATTTGTTGCTCTTACAACTGGGATCCACTACAATACTTTTGTCAGGTAGTGTATGATCAATTAAAACAAAACTATACCACAGTCTTTACATATATAATGCTACCAAAAAATATTAATGTGTGTGTGTGTGTGTTATAAAATCATAAATTGATTACGATACATCATTTTCATCTTGTTTTTGTTATTATTTTTAAAAATGTAAACTCCATCAGATCTAGAGTAATGCCGTTCATTAGCTGTGTGTGATCTGTGAACATTTACACAGTGACGGGCAATCGTGGCATCTAAACATTTATCCTGTATAAGCTGCTGATATATGCCCAGGAATGATGTTTTAAGTGTGTGTGTGTGTGTGTGTGTGTGTGTGTGTGTGTGTGTGTGTGTGTGTGTTTGTGTAAGTGAGAGGAAGATCTGGGGCTTCTCACTTCACACTTTATTGTGCTGTCAGAGAAGCGAGCAGCAGTCCTAATATTTATCCTCAGCGGACCGACAATGACACAAACCTGTTCACACAAGCCTCATTTATAGTCTTCGCTCCACTCGTACTAATGCATTATCATTTTTCACTTTTGCTCAGTTAAACATTAAGCGTACCAAACATTTGCTTAGATCACTTTAGTTCAGCTCTTAATAATTCTGATAATACAGTCTTGAAATTACTCATGTATTTTAGAATTTATTGCATTTAAAGTAAAATATGTGATGTGCACGTGAAGTTTAGTGTATTAAATATGGTAAAATATATACCTACTGCGCCACTGCCTCGCCAAAATAAAAAAATACAATTATTAAAATTAATCAAAAAGTAATGCACAATATTTTTCATAACTGATATAATTTAGACTGATTGTAATAATACTTCAAAACAATTAGAAAAAAATATATATATTTATAAAACGCATAATTATAAATAAAATACATGATGTTTAATGTATAAAATATGCATTTCTTTTAGGTCTTTTTATAATGTCATTACACATTAATTATCTGTAGCAAGCATTTTTAATAAAATAAAATAAAATATATAGTTTTAAATTTTTTAATCAAATAAAATAATACCACAGTAATTCATAATATTTTATTACTGATATAATTTAGACTGACTTTAATAAGGAATAAAAATAATTAGATATCAGATCATAAACTCATTACATAGATTTTTAAATTTATTTTAGAATTATAATTTATAATATAAATATTTTTTATGTTTTAAAAAATAAAATAAAATAAAACTTTAATGTATTAACATTTTATAAAATAAATAAATACCACAGCAACGCATAATATTTTTCATTACTACATTTAATAATAATAATAAAAAAAGATATCAGACTATAAACTAATTTCATAGGTAAATAACATAATGTATAATGTTTAATGGATAAAATATGAATTTCTTTTTTATAATGTCATTACACATTAACCATCTGTAGTAAGCATTTTAATCAAATAAAATTGTACTTAATTTAATGTAATTAACAATAATGCAAACATATTTTTCATTACAGATACATACTTTTAAATGATTTTAATAATAAATTGAATTAATTATGACTAAAATCCAATTTCAAAGGTAAATAAAATATGTAATGTATAATGTTTGATTTATAAAATATGTTAAAATATGCATTTCTTTTAGGTCTTTTATATAAATAAAATAAATTAATTAAATAAAAAAAAGAATTTTAATTAATTGGAATGAAATAAATAAATTAAAAATTATTTTTATTAAAATAATAAAATAAAATAAATAACAAATTAAAAAATTTTATTTCATAAAATAAAAAATACAGGATGCATAAAAGTTTTCATTACTAATATAATTGCAGAATTTTAAATTTATAATTCATATTTATGTTTAATAAAATACAATAAATAAAATTTTATAAATAATAAATTAAATAAAATTTAATTAAAAATTAAACAAATTAAATAAAAATTGAAAAATAAAAAAAACTAGAAAAATGAAACAAAAAAATAAAATAAATAATTAAAATAAATAAGACAAAATAAAATTTATAAAATAATAAAATTAAATTTAAAATTTTAATTTAAAAATAAAAATGAAATAAAATAATGAAAAAATAATTTTAATAATAAAATAAAATAATATAAATAAAATAAAATAACTAACAAATTTTAAAAATGTATTTTATAAAATCTAATAAAGTTCAAAAACACAGGATGCATAATATTTTTTCCTTACTGATATAATTTAATAAAAAAAATAAATACATAATTAGCTATCAGACTATAAGCTCTTTTCATAGTTAAATACGAGATTAGTGTTGAGATTTGTTTGATTTGAGACTCACCCACACAGTCGCAGCACTCCTCCCAGAGAGCACTTAAACACAACATACACTCTTTACAACACGAGCAGTTTCCCTCCTGAGGCCGGCACTGACAGAGACCCTGCACACACACACACACAAAATATACATCATAAAAGGTGAACATACTGGGGTGGAAAGACATGTAAAGACTACGCCTGAAGTTCATGAATGAAAACCACACACACACACACACACACACACACACACACACACACACACACACACACACACTCACTCACTCACTCACTCACTCACTCTCACTCACTCACTCACTCACTCACTCACTCACTCACTCACTCACTCACTCACTCACTCACTCACTCACTCACTCACTCACTCACTCACTCACTCACTCACAGCTTTACTCTCTGATTAAACTCATTCTGTAGGATTTATAAGCATTTTGAGAAATGAGGACGTCACCAATGTCCTCATATTTCACCTCCTTTTTGTAATACCTGTGTCATACCCATGTCATTATACAGATTTGTGTCCTGATATGTCACAAAAACACGTACACACACACACACACACACACACACACACACACACACACACACACACACCCTATACCACTGAAAACGCACATCGCGCGACCACGCGCGCACACACTCTGGCATGCACTGCAGCCTATGCGGACGTCTGAGCTCCAGGCAGTCAGTGGGTGCTTTGAGCACACCTCCCCAGGTGAGAGCAGCGCAGGTCAAACAGTTCCTCAAGGATTTACCTGTACCGCATGTCTTTGGACTGTGGAAAACGGAGCACCCGGAGGAAACCCACGCGAACGCAGGGAGAACATGCAAACTCCACACAGAAACGCCAACTGAGCCGAGGTTCGAACCAGCAACCTAGCAACCTTCTTGTGGTGACAGCACTACCTACTGTGCCACAGCATCACCAACTCTTTGGTCTTTTGGATCTAATACTTGTTCTCAGGTAACGTGTTTTGGCTGAGCGCAAGATAAGTTAAAGAGCCCCTATTAAGGGTTTTTGAAAATGACCATCCATGTAGTGTGTAACACAGCTCTAAGTGAAGTGAAGTATCCAGCTAAGGCTTTAATCTGAAAGTGCACCGTGTTTAAAACTATTGATTCATCTATAAAAGAGTCAACTCATAGTGATTCGAATGAAATGACGTGGATACAGAACTTAAGCCCCGGCCATTTGTTGCGCGCACAGACCCAGGAAAATTGACCCCCGCCCCTTCCCCGGCCCCACCCACAAGCACTGTAGAAAGAAAAGGGAGGATGACACCGTAGTACAGGGGTTCTCAACCTTTTCACTTCAAGGCCCACCTTTTTCTCCGAACACTGTTTGAAGGGCCACACTGATTGTCTGGAGAAAATGCTTATTTTCAAGCTCTATTTATTAGCAAAACATTTCTTTTGCCTTCTATTATTCTCTTATTTTTCTACATCATTTTGTAAAAAAAAAAAAAAAAAACATTGTGCCTGTGTGTGCCTTGCCTATATATATATATATATATATATATATATATATATATATATATATATATATATATATATATATATATATATATATATATCTCTCTCTTTTTTTTTTTTTTTTTTTGAGAGACAGAAAAAAAAAAAAAAAAAAAAAAAAGAGAGAGAGAGTGATTTGAGAGAGAGAGAGAGAGTGTGTGTTTTTTTTTGCCCCCCCCCCCCCC